AAACCTGGAGCTTAAGAGGAGTTCTTTGTTACCATAAAGCAAGGACCTTAAAGGTTCTGGAAAACCAGGCAAGGAACTTGGAAAGGGGAAGCAGTTTTCTTCCCACATTGTTTACATACTGATATGGACAATGACAGCTTGTACTTACATTGTGCATATGACTCCATATGATCTCGACTGGGGATGTAGGTGGAGGCTGGAAGGAATACTGAGCAGTACTGAGCATTTCCTGAGTCCCACTGACACGCCCTTTGTAGATGTAGCTGAGTCTGGGGACGAGGTGGCTCAGTGAGGTAACTCAGGTAGGAGAGTCTGGCTGTATCCCAATTCAGGGTCTGCAGCCTTAATGGCCCACAAGGGCCACGTACTCAAAGACCGCTAAGGCCGGAAGTGCGAGGCTTGTGAAATGGGCGGTCTAGCCTCCGTTGCGCTGCCCAGGTTGCCTAGCAACCATGATACTAACAGCTGGAAACGTGTTATACAGTTTTGTGTGACAGAAATGAAGGTGAAAATCTTCTGTTCATTTGTTTGTTTCTACATGAGCTTTGATCATTCTCTGTAAGATTAAGCTCAGCTATTGAACGGCGTATATTTTAAAGTAAAGGCTTTAAAACAAAGTTAGTACAAACGTCACTAACGTCACATGACTTTGCCGACATGTGGCCAACAGTAATGTTTAATGTTCTTCGTTATTAAACGTTTGCACATAAATAAGTGACATAATATTCAGTACTTACTTAAAGTTTACTCTTCGGAGGCCCCTCATCCGCCGTTTTTTTTTCCGGCAAATTTATCCACACCCACCGCCGCGCTATGCATTCTGGGATATGTTGGGCCACGAAGTCTACACCGCCACAGCCTTAAAATTCAGGGAAATGAAGGATGCATTTGAGGGCCGCATTTCGAGCAGCCTTCGAATTGGGACAGCCTTCGTCGCTTCGCTGTGATGTAATCGGCCTTAAAATGCGGCCTTTAAGGCTGCAGAGCCTGAACAAGAGCAGGTGAGACACCCTGACAGGGACTAGAAAGAGAGAGCAGATTTCTCCTGTTTTGGCTTCCTGTTAAATCCAGAATTCAAAATCCTGCTCCTCACATACAAGGTCTTAAATAATCAGGCCCCATCTTATCTTAATGACCTTGTAGTACCATATCACCCTATTAGAGCACTTCGCTCTCACACTGCAGGCCTACTTGTTGTTCCTAGAGTATTTAAAAGTAGAATGGGAGGCAGAGCCTTCAGTTTTCAGGCCCCTCTTCTGTGGAACCAGCTTCCAGTTTGGATTCAGGAGACAGACACTATCTCTACTTTCAAGATTAGGCTTCAAACTTTCCTTTTTGCTAAAGCATATAGTTAGGGCTGGACCAGGTGACCCTGAATCCTCCCTTAGTTATGCTGCAATAGACGTAGGCTGCTGGTGATTCCCATGATGCATTGAGTTTTTCCTTTCCAGTCACCTTTCTCACTCACTATGTGTTAACAGACCTCTCTGCATTGAATCATATCTGTTATTAACCTCTGTCTCTCTTCCACAGCATGTCTTTATCCTGTCTTCCTTCTCTCACCCCAACCAATCACAGCAGATGGCCCCGCCCCTCCCTGAGCCTGGTTCTGCTGGAGGTTTCTTCCTGTTAAAAGGGAGTTTTTCCTTCCCACTGTTGCCAAAGTGCTGCTCATAGGGGGTCATATGATTGTTGGGTTTTTCTCTGCATCTATGAAGCGCCTTGAGGCGACTTATGTTGTGATTTGGCGCTATATAAATAAAAATGAATTGAATTGAATTGAAATGGGATACAGCCAATGTCAAACCTCTGATCCAGAAGGAGCCTCCAACACAGGCAGTAATAAAATCTTATTATTTCTGTTGTTTTCTTAGTCATAGTTGTTATTTTTTATACATTACACAAAAAAAACTGAGCATGAGCCTCACAATCAGTGGGGAAATCTGTTGCATTCAGTCAGATCAGTGAGGAAAGCGTTCCAGATTAAGCTGAAAGTCGGCATTTTAAACGGGATTGTCTGATTTCCAACTCGGAAAATTGGGGCAGCCTCAAAAACTCCAAGTTAGCAATCCAAGAAGGCAGGAAGTAAACAGTAACTGTACAACGTTTAATCTGTTGTGCCTCTGTGGTGTCTTCCTGACACACTAAATAAACTGCATGGATCAGGCTCTTTCTATGATTGGTCTGCAGCCGAGGTTTTAAGCACAAAAAACAAGTACTGTGCTGAATTGCTCGGTATTGCTAGTGATGCATGAATGACTCTACCTCGTAAGGAAGCAAAATAAATCCCGTTTTCCTTTCAGTCCTTATGATTGGAGCACGCTTCACTCAGAAGTGATGTCAGTTCTGAGTTCAGACACGTGACTTCTGAGGGAACAGGAACACAGTGAAGTCAAACTCTTTTTACCTGGTGGACCACATCAGAGGCGGAGCCAGACATTTGAAACACCCGGGGCTTAGCCCTAAAGGGTAGTATGCATGTGGGATTTTTTATTTTCTTTTTTCTTTTTTGGGGGGGGGGGGGGGGGGGTGTTTAGAAATGACTGAAAAATTAATTGGCTCTGTTTTGAGTTAGGGAAAAATAAATATCACATATGCAGGACACCTTAAACTAGTTTTTTAATTAAGCAGTGAGGCAGAACAAAGTCGGGGCTGTATCAAGACACGAGGACTAAACCCCAATTCAACCAGACCCAGAACTGATCCAGAATTAAAACCGGACTACAACAGTTCAAAATCAGCACTACTGAGGACTTAACCAAGACAGAACCAGAATCAGAACTAGATGATAGCAGCACTAAAAATCATCATAGACCTGCACTACACTTATTTTTTAATAATACCAAAGTCCAATATTTAGATTGAGAAAAGTTTGTATAATTATTTATCCTTGTTGTGCAAACAAGCAAAACTTAATAAATGTAGTTTGAAAAGTAACAAACCTGAAAAGAAACACGAGATACATGAGGACCTGTGATACGGTGATACTTTTGGTAAACAACCATTTGACTAACATGTGTGTCTCACCTGCTCTTGTTCATCTCTCTTCCTCTCTCTCTCTTTGTGCTGACAATCATCAAATATACAGTTGAAACCACATATTTACTCTTCAGATAAAAACACTTTTTAAATTGTAACATCAAATCAGACTAAATGTTTATTTCTTTAGATTGATAAATATAAAAACATATTTGTTAACTTTCAGAGTAAAGAGAGAAACTGTCTGTATTTCTTAATTGTAAATGGCACCAAATTGTATTCAAACTGAGCCACACTTATGGAGCTCCACAGTTCTCTTCCTGGTGTTTTGTTGACATCTCTTGATGTTCCCATGTCACAGAAACAGACTCTGTGTTTTGCCTTATATGCATCCACAGCTGTGCCACCAGTTTACTCACATGGACTCTACGAACCAATCAGAAGCTTCTTCAGCTCAGAATGGAATCGTCTGGAGTTTCTTATTAATTAACAATAAACTTAGTGTATATGTGCTCCTAAATTTGATGAAAGTGATGATAAATAGAAGCTCTGTCTCTCTTTATTCTGACATTTAACTAATTCAAAAGATATTTCAATATTTATCCAAAACAAAACAAGTTTACTCTAAATGACGTTGTACAGTAAAAAAATGTTCTTGTGTTTTCCATAAAGTGTAAATATCTGGTTTCAGCTGTGAATACACACATGTAAGCTGAGACTCTCCAAAGAAACAGCATTGTTGTTGTTCGGCTTTTCATTTCGCCATTTGTTGAGTCACTTGAAGAGCAATAACGTAATATTGGTCAAGTGATCAGTTTGATATCTTTCGTGATGCACCGTCATATTTACATTATTTGTACTGTACGAATGATTTGCTTTGGTACCTGGTCAAACTTAAGCTCTCCTTAGTAAGGCTAGCTCTGTCTCTCCAACCTCCAACAGCGCACTCACAGGCAGCAGCTGCCCCGCCCCCTCGCTCAGTCGCTTAGTGCCTGAGCTCGGATCATACCAATATCAGGGGGGATTCACGCACAGTCGTAAATTCCCACAGTGTGCACTATGTGCTTCGAATATTGTGTGTACTTTTTGTTTTATACAGTTGTCAGCCAGGCATCTAACTATGAAAAAATTACACTCCAAAATACCCCGGGCTTCTGACAAAACAACCCGGGCTTAAGCCCAGTAAGCCACCCCCACGCTCCGACACTGGACCACATCAACCCAGTATCACAGCAAAATGTGACACCGGTCCACCGTGAAGTGTGAAATGGACAGGCGTGCAGAAGTTGCGCTACCAGCAGGAGGAAATAATATATTTAAAGCCACGAAGTCGGTATTGAGCAAAAACATATTAGTACACTCCAGGGTCAGATTACTGCAACAAACTGCAACTTCTACATTTCATGTTTTCAAGAGGCAAAGCGTGAACGGACACTGTGGACCAGCGTGTCTATTACACACTGTGTCAGGATATCGGGTTGAGCACGTACTTTCATTCTAAGCGGGCTGGATGAGTGAAACTCGCCTTTCAGTCTGGGAGAAGAATAAAAGGAAGTGCAATCCCAACAGGAGTCTGTTACCATGCTGTTTGAGCTCAAACTGAAAATAACAAACTGATGAAAAGTGAAAAACAGAAAGATTTCTGTCTGTTATCTATTACTTTTGAATGAGTCGTGGCAGGTTTATATCAGTGGGAAAAGCTGTAAATCTCATATATAGTCAATATTAGTTAAAAGTCCCTCACTTTTAACATAGTGTCCCAATTTTGGCATCAATTTTACATCCCTGCTGTAAAAGGTTCGTGTGGACTTCATTTCCCACAATCCATTGCTCTGGGTCATCGAAAAAGTATTCATGAGAAGACCGAATATTTTATTTAGAGAGCAATGCAGAAAGGCTTGTTATTTATAACCAGATGTTTACAATAAGGAACCGTGTGGCAGCTGTCTGTGAGGGGACGTTGGTGGAAACGCGCGTTTGGCCGCTATTTGTTTCGTGACGCGAACATCTGGCTGAGTTTTGGTTGTCCTGCTCCGGCCACGCGGAACTACAGTCACAAGTGAAACATGTCCCACGGCAGCTACAAACCTGTGGACCGTGTCATTTTTGACATGGATGGATTGTTATTAGGTCCTGAAACGCATTTTTATCTTCTTCTGGTGATGTTGTGTTTTAAGTGCTGAAATCCATTCATTCACTCGAGTCGTGTTCGAGTCTGGTGAAGACCCGGTCCACCGCAGCCCGTGGAAAAACATTACTGATGTGTCGTGTAAAGTTTTTATATATGTGATGTTGAATTCGGCACAAATCTAAACCACCAGTCTGTGCTATCAACTTGTTTACCATAAAACAAACCAGTCTTTACACGAGTGTAAGTAAACTTGTGTTACCACTAAACGCAGACTCTGTAACTAAGTTACTTATACCTGGCAAATGATTCTGCCTAAGATGATACCGGCGTTTGGCCTGTTTTAAATGGGTTTTAATGAATGTTAAACACTGATAATGTCATCAGGTCAGATGTGCTCGTTTGTTTGTGTACCTGTAGGTTTGTGGTGAACACAATGTTCAGTGACATTTAAGTAAAAGCTGTTTATTTCCTCATTGTAGACACCGAGCGACTTTACACCGTGTCCTTCCAGGAAATATGTGACCGGTTTGGAAAGCAGTACACATGGGACGTGAAGACGTCAGTGATGGGGAAGAAGGCTCTGGATGCTGCCCAGATGATCCGTGATAGGCTGCAGCTCCCCATGACAGCTGAGGAGCTGCTTGCTGAAAGCAGACAAATACAAGAAAAGATCTTTCCCTCTGCTCAACTCATGCCAGGTAAATCTGACTTACCCTGACATTTGACATCAGTTACTGTGTTTTCCAGCTTTCTCTGAGCAGACAAACAGCAGTAAGATGCAGCTGTTTGTGCTAAGCTAAGGCTACTTTATTGTCTCCTGTAGGAGGAAACTGAGCGTCCAAACGGGACAATAGCAAACAGTAAAAACACACGTAATTTAAACTGCCTTTCATTGGGTATTGTGTAGGCTGTGGATCTTCACGTAGGAGTGCTGCTCGTTCTGTGTGTGAATCATACCAGTGTGTGGAAGTGTTGTGACCGAAGGCTCCTCTCATCCAGTGTGATAGCTGCTGGACACCTGTAAACACCTGCATGAACATTAGAAGTCAGACACAGACGCGCATCCATCACGTGTCCATTTGTGTTACATTACACTGGCAGTTCATAATCACATACACCAACAACTCCCTGGATTTCATCCAGAAAGCCGTGTCATAATTACATTATTGCAGACAGGATTTCATTTGTGCTGCTAATGCTACTAAACACAGGCTTAGTGAAACCTTTCACAGACGCTCCTTGTCTGCTCTTACAGGCTGGTGCTGCTGACGGTCATTGTTAAACAGGGAAACATCGCTTTAGTGGGCAGAGCTTAGTCCAGCTGCAGGTCAACACATGACAGATGTTCATGAGTGGATGAACAGCAGGGACTCTGCTAATCTTGGAGCTTTTTATACATGTCAGTAAGTAGTTTAGTTTGAGTGGACTCCAGTTTAGGTCTAGAGGTTTGATCTTCTGCCAACTGTATATGTGACCCCACAGTGACACAAGAAGAACTTTGATCACATGTTTTCTGCTTTGTGTGGATTAAACATGATATCCATTACTGGGCACGAGAGGCTTGAATCACAGCCAAACAGACTCTGACCAGTGGATGACTTCTCCCGTGTGTTCTTAGACCGGAGCCTATCACACTGCCCATGTTACACAAGAGCTTTAATGCATTTTTGTTTCAGTGTTGAATTAACTCTCACAGAGTTGGTTTCAACACTTTTTCAGGGTTTATAGAGCCAGATGTAAACGGACATGTTCAGAATAGTTAAATATTTAACACAATGCCAGTTTGTTATTTAACTCACAAAAATGTGTTAAAATCAGGGCCAACAGCACACGGGTAATGGATCATTCAAGGATGCTTAGGTATCAAGTTTCTATGTGGTTACAAGTGTTTCAATAGTTTTGGTGCTCAGCAATCAAATGCTATAAATCTACTGACATACCTGCAGTCGGAGACGGGGAGAAAACGACGTTCATTATTTGAAGTAACAACACCAACAAATTCCAGTTTTCGTCTGCTGCAGGAATAATGTCACCAGACACAGTGGGATGTTCCCCACATGACACAAACCATTACCAGCTCTCTCCAAACTAAGTCCTGTTCTGTGTTGTGTGAGATATTCAAAAAGCAGTTCGATCATGCATTATATCAGACCAGTCGTTATTACAAACACGGACATACTTTTAATATTTCTTTTTAAACAATATAAAGACTTGAATTGTTTCTTGGAGAAATGCATGATCCTCTTAGGCTCATCCTACTGTTTGAGAATCACTGCTCTCAATCAAATGACAGAAATGATGTTTACTGCACGACTCATTAAAACCAGGAATTAGGTCCATTCCTAGATGATCTCCAGTGAGCTGTGAGAGTGTGCCATATACCTTAGCCCTCGGCTCTGTGCAGATCTCGCGTGTGGAAAAGTGATACCAGATGAATGTTATTCAAAACCAAATGAAATTTTGGGGCAAGTTTCGTACAATAAAATAAAGACGTCTGGAGCCAAGGGGATTGTTTCTCAGTCATCATAGTGTAGCTGAATTTGTAATGTGTGTGTTTTGACTGAAAACTAAAGCGGAGTTTTAAAATAACGTGCATCAGAAAAGTCAGGCTCTGATCTACACGCCTTTAAGAGCACACAGATGTCTGGATTTCTGCACATGAACCTCAGTCTTTCTGAAATACATATATACATATATATGTATTTTATACATATATAAAATACATATATAAAAGTCTGTATAAAAGTATCCCTTACAGGTGCTTGATCATAAGTACTGGATTTCTGCTTTCACCTGTTGTCATTCTCACTCCCAGTGTTGTTTCAGCTGGGTCTGAGATGTAGGCAAATGTAGGCAAAGGCTGTGCAGCGGCACAAATATGAAAACAAAACCCTGAAACATACACACACGATTATCAACCAGGTGAGCCACCAGGATGGTAACCATTTGTCTTCTTGTGCCATGTGTTGTTTGGTACTCCTGTAGTACTCCAGTTGTACTCCTGTAGTACTCCAGTTGTACTCCTGTAGTACTCCTTCACCGCCACCTCCTAGCACAGATTCAACTAGCAACAAAAACATGGTGTTAAAAGCTTTTCTGAGTGAAATGTTGGGAACTTCATGAAAAACCATCTTTCTTACAAGCTGTTTAGCTGATGTTGCGTCACGTGCACCCTCAGTTCGTTGTGTCTTGTTAGGAACCTCGTCTATGATTATAGTTGATGCACTTGAGCTGAAGCTCGAGTGCGACATCCCAGAGCAGGAGACGAGGAGCAATCGGAAAATTCTGAAGGAATAGAAAAACAATCAGAATAACTGTTAATGTTGGGATGCAGAGGGCCTGGTTACACCTGCCTTTGAAGCTCACTGTGACAGTCAGCACCACACTGCTTCGTCCAACAAGGTCTCTGAATATTTCCACATCAGCGTCTGTCCCTGTTGCATCCCTGTATATGACATCAGGGGGCAGGAAACATCTCTCAGTAACTGGAAAACAGTATAAATAAATTCATGTGCTCTTGAAGGCAGCACTTTTTATAGGTCACAGGTAAAAATTATCCATGTGAAACGCATTAAATCACCACTCAGTAACCATCAAACAGACACATTTCTTCCCCTGCACAACCTGAAGTCCAAATTTCAAACTTAAAAAGAAAAAATGACTGTTATGCTCTGCAGGGGAATACATGTTGGGAATATTTCTTAATTAACAAAACACTTTGTTAATTAATGTTTTAATGTTATCCTGTAAATTGGTGAACCAGTATATTATTCCTACATTAAGACTAATTCTGCAACGCATGTACCACCAGGTGTGGAGAAACTTGTGCGTCATCTGCAGAAGCACAAAATCCCCACTGCAGTGGCAACCAGCTCAGCCGGCGTGACGTTCAAATTGAAGACGAGTCAACACAAAGAGTTCTTCGCTGTCTTTGATCACATTGTCCTGGGTGACGATCCAGATGTGAAGAATGGCAAACCTCAGCCGGACTCCTTCCTGGTGTGTGCCGGCCGGTTCAATCCCCCAGCTCCTCCGGAGAAGGTGAGGAGTGCACCGTCTGTTCGTCATTCGCAGCATTCGAGATCAAAGTAACAAAAATCTATTTTGTAACATTTGTTTTTGTTTTTTCACAAAACTCTTCAAAAATAGGAACCAAAAGTTCTTTACCTTTATAATTAGATAGTGAAATATTATTTAAAATAATTAATATTAAAACAATGTTTCAAAAAATAGAGTTTTTTTGTCCTCTTATTATAATTTTTAGTTGTCTTAGATTTTCATGTAATAGATAATAGCAACATGATTTTCTATTAATGAGATGATTTTTGTGTGCAGGTGAACGATATTTATTATCAGCAGGTGGAACAAAATCTTTACAGTTAGAAAAACATTCTTGTCTGCTTTGCCTTGAAATGTTTGATCCAGTGCGTTTATATAGTGTGTGTGTGTGTGTGTGTGTGTGTCCGCAGTGCTGCTAATACACTGAAAACACACAGACAGGCACTGATACTCACTAACTTGCTATTCTTCTCTTTAATGATCTTTAAAGATGTTTCTGCTTCTGGCACAAATATCTTTGTGTCTCATAAAGAGTTATTTCAGGATGTAGAACATGGTAACGAGCGAGAACAGTCCACTGAAACGTCGTCACATCAGAGGATTTCCTGTACTGCAAGTTCTCAAATTCAAACTGAGAGACAAACTAAATAAATAAATGAATAAACAGTGGTTATCAACAGAAACCACTGTTGGGCTGCTTTGCAAAAAGAATTTACAAAGGATCACATCAAATGCTGAAACAGGGAGAACTGATATTTTCAAGCCTCCTTCCTGCAACACCTTTGTGTGAGGACACTGCTGTTGTGATTCGGTGCCGTGTAAATACAGTAAATTCAATTGAGTTGAAAAATGCTAAAAATGAATGGTGCTACTGAGGAGACGTTGGCACAGGACGTGTGTGCTCAGCACAGTCCACTAACGCTGAGCTGATTCCACACACTGGATGAAAGTCATATGTAGAAAATATGATCCCAGAGATGAAAGATGCATCTTCAGTACTGCAGTAGAACTGCAGTCAACAGTAAGTCACACAATGTGAGTCTTTTATCTAGTTGTATTTAACTGCCAGTGTGTCAGCCAGGAGCTTTTTATTTGCAGCTAATGTGTTCCATTTGCAGTAATGCAGACAGGACCTAATGTCAGCCGCTCTCTGCACTGACAGGCACACACATCTTCTGCAGCACTTTGATCAAAAGTGGGAAGCTTTCAGGGTTCATGGGCTGTTTAAGATATATTTTCAGGCACTCTGGAAGCCATTTGCAGCGTTGAGTCAGTCAAAAATAGCTGCCAAATATCTCCCTAAAAGAACCAAATAACAGTGAGAGCTGACCTACTTTATGATAACACTCTCACTCTAGACCACACGTTAAATCTGCTGCTGATTATTACACCGATTCAATATGTGTTCAGGGATGTTCATTGTAGCTATGAACCCTTCATTTCATGTAGGTACAATATTACGTACATATTCATAAAAATTTATCTTGGAGAGTAAACCTAAGCAGCATTTTTAATCCTTCTCAGAAAGGCGCATGATAATGATCACAGAATATGTGCTCAGCTGAAGCGTGCATTGACTTACAGACACTGCTGGAGTAGCAGATAACCTCGAGGTTACATGAAGGCTTTTGCTGTTTGTATTAGCTAACTCGACCAATCAGATGGTTCTGTGTCTCCTCTCTGATTAGCACTGGTTTTGGACAAATAGACAGAGACTGTTCCTACTGCTTTGACTGGTCCCAGAGACACAGTCACCTCTGTAAAATAGAAGAGGTGTTGGAGTACCAGGAGCCACCAGAGGTGGAACCTTGATCAGAGAGGTGACCACAGCCAAAACAATCACTCCAACACTTTCAGAGATGCAGGAACATGCCAGGCCTTTACACACGGAGTCCATATGGAACAAAAACCCTATTACAAAGACTTACCCAGAATACTGGACTCTGTAACTGCTGACTGGAGGGAACACTGGTGGAAGTAATGCGAGCTGAATGTCACCTTTGAACCCTGGAGCTTTCAGCACTGAGGAAATGTTCTTCCAACTTTTAGTTTACTTCAGTTTTTCCCTGTGGAAACAGGAGTCTTGTCTTTTTTGCTGGGTTGAATTTCCTGGTTGGGGAGGCTGTGTAATAGCATCTAGATTTCTGTCACAAGTTTTCATTTATCATGTTGAAATTACTACCCTTTGTCAGCATCTGCACGATGCTGTTCTTCACTTGTTTCTTCTAAAATCGCTCCCATGCTGTACGCGAGGATACTCAGTGGTAATTCTGCTGCTACACTTTAAAGCTGAGTCTAAACGGAGTTGTCCTTTGCTTGTGAATGGATTTTATTCAGATTTTTGCTTTGACCGTCGTGAATCAGACCAAGGATGTTGCCCTTTTCTAAGCCCTGCCTTCAACTAGCACATTTACTGTCTTCACTTTTGGTCAGGACAGCCAGGAACAAACGTTGAACTGGCAACATATCCTTGGAATATAAAGCCTGAAGAGGTTACTGCATTTTAATGTGGAAAGAATCTTTTATGTGAAATATTTCTTATTAACAGATGCCCACACGCATTACTCATCACATTCAACACTAATGCAAATAATTCTCCATTTGAATGATTTTCCTGGCTTTATAGAAATGACCAATAAATGACACCGTTGGCTTGGAAACATGAAAAGTGAAAATGAAACGAAAGCAACAACAAAACAAACATTTTCATTCTATGAAGTGAAATGTGGGTGCACTTTATGCATTTGTTGGTTGGCTACTGTAACCTGTAGCCACTTGTAACCACTCACTTCCGCTACATATTCTACTATGAAAACCTGAACTGTGTGCATACATGTCCTGTAGTTTATATATATGAAGATTTTACAACTGTGGTGTGCAATCAGCTTGTGATGTTGTTGCTCCCTGCTTTGAAGAATGAACCAGGTCTGCAACTGTTTGCAGTCAGTTGCAATAAGCCAGCAATGAGTGTCAGTCTGTGTCAGTTTGAGAGTAAATGGGGTCAAAATTACATGCAGTGTTTTTATCATGTTCGCGTTGTTGATTTGTGTAGAAGAGATGAATAGTGTATTGATAATGAACGTCAACAAGAGCTTTGCTGTGAGCATTTAGTTTGTGTTACGTTTGCAGCAACGTTGGCAGCAGGTAGGAGGAAAGTGGAGAGTAAATAACAAACTTCTAGCAGTGAGTCAGTGACATTGTTATTCAACCAGTTCTAAAAATAGCTGATGGGGATGGAATAGGCAACATGTAAAATGAGCGTGCCACGCTCCTTTGAGTGATTGTACCAGAGCACTATGGTCACCGTGTAGACGCCTCCAGGATGGAGGGCATTAAAGCCCCGAATCATCTCAAAGGCACACGACTCTCATTCGGACACATGTAGCCGATTACATGTGCGATCCAGACGTGGCTGCACATTGGCTGCTGTTGCCTGATTTGGTTTTGAAATGTATTTTGATGCAATCACTTTTGTGTTACAGTTTATTACTTGACGTCACCGTTTCTGACATGATTTATATTAAAAATAAAACAGAATTACTTTGGATTAATGTGGCAGCTTTATTGCCTTCATCAAAAGTTTTTATCTTATGTTGTCAGACAGAATTTCAAACCCGCAGCTGTGCCCGGCATAAGTGTTAACAGTGTTTGTGTTGTTTCACTCTGCAAATCATATCGTTTCCTGCTTTTATTTAATCAGCATTTCTCCTCATGACCCAGTTTTCACTGAACAGTGATATCTAGTTGCATTGCTTTTGTCTTTGCTTTATTCCAATAGGAGCCTCACACATTCCCACTGCAAGGAGTAAACAGTTTCCAGAAGTTGCTGCAGAAGAAGAAATGATGCAGTAAATTAATGAAATGTGCTTATTCCATAAATTATACAATATTTATTTAGGAAATGTGTAGTTTGCCAGTCTAATTGGCTATTCACGTGCTGAAGTAAGACACTTATTTATTAGCACTTGTGTGTAAACGGAGGTTGTAAACTAGTTTTCCACGTCACACATCAGATGTTCACGTTCTGCAGGTGCATCATCCATGAAGGTATAACTCTTAGCTTTAGTAAAACGTCGCAGCCATTTTAACAACACACCCTACATGTATAATTAGGTTGTGGATAATATGAAAACTACAGTGTAGACAAAACAGAAACCTTTCAGAAAGGTAGCAATAATGGGATTTACGGTCTAATTTTAAAGGGAAATTTGTGGCTTCCAATAGATGCATCGCTAACTCTTCTCCCTTTAAAGCATTTTGCTGCAAATAGGCCTGCCTGTGGCATGGTGCACCTGATTTTTTTAATCTGGAGCCAGCCACTGTTAGAGCTGGCATTTTTCTTGATGAGATATGAAACTGCGGCTCAGAGGGGAATCGACAGAGTGTTCAGTGGAATAACGAATGATGATGCGTCACTCCCTGGCTCCCACTCCGTGACAGAGGAGAGGAGGAGGGGTTAGCGGCAGAGACATGAGACAGAGGGAGAGAGTAGGAGGTAAACACAAGAAGCAGCGGTATGGTAATAGCACACATCCAATTATCAGCTCTTTCTGCCCTCCTCTCAGCTCTGATGGAAAAAGCACGTTCCTTTTAGGGCGCTGTAAAATGGGAAAATCGGACAAAAAGCAAGATCTCTATCAAACACGTGGACAGATACGGACTTGGTAATATAGACATTTGGTTTATCAGCTGTTGTATGTGTTTCCAATCCTCTGAGACACATGCTAGATAAAGGACAACGGTGTAGTTCGTCATATAGAGTTATAGGCATATAATGTTTAGTCAGTAACGTGGTGGGTAACTGTTCTCACTGTTTCAATATGGGAGTAAAAAAGCTGTAGTCCTGTTCAGAATGATTTTTAAAACATGTCCTACAGTGGAGTTTAATGGGATATTCCCAACACCGGAGGCAGAGAAAGCCTCACGCCCCCTCACGGTGAACACTGTAGCTCACAGCTGAGTAATGTGGTGTCGTGTCTGAG